GCAGTCCACCCCGTCTTGCTCGCATACTGTCGTTCTAAGTTTAACGATAAATTAGAACGAACACAACAAAAAAGGAATGATTCTAGCTACCGTTTTCTTTTTTGCACACCAGATGACGCTAGTGTGGAAATCGCTTTTGATCCTAGAGAGATTTAGCTAGTGTGACACGACTGGACGTTCAATTGTTACAGCTACAGCTAGATTGATGCAACTGACTTCTTTTTAGATTAGAGCCATCTAGTGGACAAAGAAACGTTTTACCTTTCTGAAATTCATTTACCAATGTATAATAATTTTCTAAATGTTAAAATTCGAATGGGGCAATTTGAAATTATTTGAATTCGATCCCTTTTATTTTTATGTAAAAATCGACAATTTGTAAAGAAAACAGCGCCTTGTAACGTAATTATTATTTTACATCTTGAATTCTTTCTATGATAATACCTACAAACATTAAGTAAGTGCATCGTTAAATAAAACAGTACCATACCCTCACTCATTAATTTTAAGTATTTAAAGAAACCCTTTTATCATCCTTATACTATAATCTTTTTATCTTTGTCGTAAGATATCAACTTATAGACAAAAAATACTTTAGATAATTGTCTGTTTCAATGAACAAACAGATAAAAGTCTCCAATGTCCAAAACGCTAGAAGTACTTAATCTATCTATTACATCAAATTCAATTTAGCCTATTAAGAGTTACAAATATTTTAATCCACTAAAACATTTACCTATACAATAGATTTTATTTCTTTAACAAAAGTTTTGGCTTTTGATAACCTCTTCCATATTCTTTATATCCTTGTAGTGTAAGGTCAGTGTTTGCCTTAACCGGACTAAGTACGTATGTACTTATAAACTTTGTCTAGTATTAAACAGGAATAAACGACGATAGAGAAAGCTAAACTTGAATTTTGAACTTTTATACGACGGCTGACGATAGAAATTTGTTTGCGCTAAGATATTGTGAACATAGCTTACTAACTTCTGCTATTGGATTCAGTTACAGTAGGTACTAGGGTAAAAATTAGCCAAATTGATGTATTTTCTTTTTAAAACTTACCACTCTTAATTTTCTTCCTGTGATAATGATCCTTTAACAAACACACGATGTCACAGACACATCACACCGAAACCCGGGACAACAATTTGCTGAGTTTTTATACTATGTGGTGTCTAATTTTTTCATTAATAACACTAAACAATAGCAACAGCACATAAACATTGCAGCACACTAAATTAAACTAAGTGGTAGGTAATACACTTCTCAAAATTATCTACAAACTATCCCAACTTCACTAGGTCACAACTCCAACATGTTGCCTAGGGTCTGACACGCTCAGAATAATATTAAGGGCAATTAATCATACCCTCTCATGTCAATCTGGGCCTGACGTAGTGACATGGCCTGAGATTAAACCAAGGCCCAGTCCTTGCCCTTTGAAGACCTATCTTGTCTGACGTTAGACTTGGCCTAATTTGACGTTGTTTAGCTTGTAAGTGGATTTAAACTAAATTTAGATTTAGTGTAGAATGTTTATTTTGGGGTTTGGTAACTTTGGTTGTGATTATGAGGTCCTGGATTGATTGACTTCTTTGGCTGAATATGTCGTTGTTATTTTGTTAATGTTTTTTTCTAGTTCGCTCACTTACGAGTATTGTTATTATCTATATTCATCATCAGATGTTCCGTCATTTCGATTGCCTCCTATTCTATATAAAAACTTCGTTTGCTTACTTGCTTACTACTTACATATAACAGAAAACAAATGTGTTTAAGGTACCTATGCAAATAATGCAACATGTATGCAGCGAATTTACAGTCCCAATATTAATACTTACATATTTATGTACCTACCTAATACCTACCTTTTTTTAACATCCAAAAACTCAATCCAGCATAGAATCCAGAAAAGAGCCAATTTATTACATTGTAATAAAAACTTTAAATCAAATGATTATAGTAGAAAATCGATCGATTTGGTATTCAAGATCTTTTCAAGTGTCTCGTTGATATAACCCTGTCAAATTCCATATACCCTTGAATGGTGGACCGCTTGAATAACAGTTTGGTGTGAACGATTTTCTAAAAGCTCTCCTGCACGTAGCCGGGTACTGGCAATAACTGTAGAGTGTAGACCATTGCACTTTGACTTATGGTCCAAGTTAAGAGTTGAGAACTTTTTTAAATTAAGAAATGTCTTTTTATTTAGATACCTACCATGATATTTCTGAAAGGCTTGCTAGTAAATATAATTTCAAATTACGCGTTTTACAATTAATCCACATGTTAGGATGAAATTACTATGTCTACTTATATAATTACGAACCTATTTATATGGTGCAAATAATACACAAATAAGGTCATGCAACGAACTATAGTCAATGTTTCTTTATGTAAGGATTACTGATTGATTCCGAAAAGATATGATCGGTGATAAACCATATTATCGCTACGGCCCGAATAATTCAAGTTGGGAAACTTCATAAACGTCTGTTGTTCCACGTATGCCAAAAATTAAGTGTTATTATAACACATCTTTACCTAGACAGACAAATAATAATTGCTATGTAGTATGATGAACCAAATAATTATTTCGTTGAGTTTCGTCCTATAAGTGAGGTTACAATCCTTCCTCCACCCGATCCTCAATCTTCAAACACCACAATCCTTAACACCCAAAAGACTGTAGATGTAGAGACCTACTTGCAACTCTTCTGATGCGGGCAGTAAGTGGAATGTGCTCGTTTAACGTCTCATCACATCAAATATAATTTATTATGTTGAAACATTTTGATGTAGGTATCAGAAGTTTTGTCATATTTTAATACAGAAAAATATTATAAGTCGCTTAATCCTTTAACTTGTACCAAAACCATAGAGGATTTCAACAGTGCTATGCTACAGAAAACTCACATTATCGGAATGACGTGATCTTTATACGTTTTTTAAATTGTTCAAGCGCTTCAGAGAACATTTTATTCAAAATTTTATCAGTTTTTTTGAAATTATTACCTACCTAACCTAGGTGATTTATTTCCATTTTCATATCGCTTTTTGTTTTAATAAATTACCTCCAGCCTGCATCAGATACGATTTAGGTATCTGGCTTTTTTCTACTAATGTTTTTTTTTTGTTCTGTTGATATACTTAGATAGATATTTGTATAGAAACACGCGCAAAGATTTCTTATATCGTGACAAATTGAAATTCCACTGATGATTGCACTTGATGATTTTTTGCACTTGGTCTATTAGTTGTAGTACAGAGGTATTAAGGTGTTGTAGGAAAATCATCGTACGACTTCTCCCGCCCAGGGCCGAGTGGGAGGGATTGTCAGACTGACTAAAAACCCCCCTGTTCCTTCTCCTACTCTGGGTCGAGGTCGCGGTGCCTCATTGCGCTTACCCCGCAACCCCGGCTGAAGACAGTAACAGTCTAAATCTAACTCGCCACACATAGGGCGAGAGACATCATATAGGTCATTTGAAAATGTTTGCTACACTTTAAATACTGAAAAAGTAGTCACAAAAGCAATTTTATTTTTATTTATTTTAAAGCTGAAGTTTCCAATAGCTATAAAATTACAAAATGTATCATCTTTTCTTGCTTGCATACTTATTATCAAGAACCGCACTCCGCACAGACCATTGACGTTTAAGGAAAAATATTAAAATATACCATAAATGTTAAGAAGGTTTGAAAGTATACCAAATGTGGGTTAATGGGGTCTAAGCAACCATAATACAAGGTCCTTTAAAGGTGATTAACCCCTGATATAAAAGTATGGGAAAACGGATATAAAAGAGATTATCGTAAATATCTTGCGATTGCGAGGTTAAGTGCGATTTTCGGTTTTAATTCCTGCATCAAGCTAGGTATTGCTAGATAAACAAAAAACTTGGATTGCATTTGTGCCCGATATAGTCATTTGATGATTTCGTCCTTGTATATGATATGTTTTTGGTCTTTAAAGGAGTCTGACACTCCCTCCCGCCATACATTCCTGCTCATAAAAATACCGTTAACAACGTTTTTTAAGGATATTTTGGTATAGAAGTTGCACCGACAAGACTCGGGAATAAGTCAATTAAAGGATTCTATATTGAGGGTGGTTGTAGTGAGGTAAAAATCACGTTTCCCCCGAAAAAAAGAGGATGACTTTGAAGTTAGTTTCACTTATAATATCTATAACAACAATATAATATCTGTATTTTATTAACCTATGTTAACAAATAAATGATTTGATTTGATTATAATAAAAAAGGCCGCTAACAACCCTAACCACGGGTATTAAATCCTAAACTCTTTTCATAGCACACACAGCTACGAAAACAACAAACAAGGCGCAGTTTCTCTAAAAAACAAACCAAACTCCTTGTAGGGAACGAACGAAGTTTCTTCTCATGAGAACTAAAACAATCTACACAATAAAGTTGAGAAATAATTACTTGGTATCTATTAACTAAGAGCATATGGCTCGGATATTTACTACAAAAACTTCACCGTCCCAAAATGGTGGTCTTCGCCAAATCTGTTTTCTGCAGTTCGACTTTGCATTACGTTACCGCGTTTAGACCTCTGATTGGTTGTCTAACTTGGAACGGGCCAATCAGAGAGCGGAACGTCATAAACGTATCAATAGTGGTAACGTAAACCAAACTTGTACTAGGCACTCAGAACTGGTTACCATTCTTATATGGTGTTCGTATAGTACCTAAACTAGAATGGGAACTTTAGATGACTCATATATCTAGTGGTTTTAATGTATTTTGATATCATAAGTTGATACCAAGGTCTAAGTTTGGCTATTTACGATGTAACCGGGATACTCGTATTAATTTTCGAACTAAAAACCAAAGTATTAATTTGGACTAATTCTAAAACAACTCTACGTTTAAAAACATAAAATATGTTTTTTTAAGCCCCGAAATGACTTGGATGATTTGAAAAAATCTTTAACTGTTGGGAAGCCACACTATCCCCGGTAAACTATGAACGTGAAGAACGTGAGTTCTTTATAAATATAAAATTTAATCAATATCTCTTTGTTCCAGGCCTACACACCAACTGGCTTCGAAAAATATGGCTGTACCTGCGCAGTCGCAGACTACAGAGTAAATTTCTCCGTATGGGACACCTCTGGTAAGTTATTTAGAAAAACATAATAAAAATAAAATATGTAATATTTACCTTGAATCACATGCTTAAGAGCTTGACCACATCGCGAAATAAAATACAAAAAATACGAATTATGTAATATGAAAATTTGTTAACACGTCCAAAAGTATAATAATAACAAGAAAGGCAAAAAAACGCACAAAAACAAAATCTCTTCAACAATTGACGCGATTCGGTGCGAAAATACATCCGCGCGAATTTTAAGCGCCGCCAACCCTTCTTCCGATTACATAGCCTCAGATCTTCTGTGTAGTTAAAAACATCGTTTAGCTTAAAACAGCGTAAAATTGTTAATAGCTGAACAAATCGCTGCACATAGCTCTTATCTTTGGGCACGCACTCCCGACCATGACAAATAGCCCGGACGTTTACACGCCAACTGAATTTCATTCCATACTTTGTTAGGTATAACAAGAATGAAGAATACTCCTATACAGTATGCATATACTGCAGTTTTTCCTGACTTGGTTTTTAGCTAACTGCTTTCTGGTTGTGGGGCTACCTAAATTTGTTTTTTTTTTTAACGTTGCCCCGCATTAGGATTTTCTCCTGTGTCGTGGGTGCTGTTAAAAACATACAATTTCACATACACATGACACCCAGACCCGGAACAACAATTTTTGGATCACACAAAGAATTGTTCCGTGCGGGAATCGGACCCGCGACACGTTGCACGGCAGCCAGTTGCCCGGCCACCGCACCAACCGTGCAGTCATGTGATACCGTGCAGTGCTGTGTGTGAACCGTGCAGTCGTACAGACATATAGTCATAAGCTTTCAAGTTATGGTGTGGTTTTGGTAAGTCAGTAAGAAAGATCTGACCTATCACCACCAAAGAGATTATGTGGTTATATCGTCATTGATCACTACACTCAGGGCGTTTAATGATCTCGTCAAAAAAGTGTCTGCTAACCACGAGGTCTTGAGTTTGCTGTGACCTTACAAACCGGAGTACTTTCTTTAAAATTAAAATGAATGAATCTACTTTTATATCCTTTTTACGTCTGCTTAATCCATCAACATTAAGGTCTTGCTTCAATTGCGCCAACCTACATTAAAGCATGGCAAACGCCTGATTTCATACGGAGAATATATGAGCGTTAATCAATGTGGAATACCAACTCAAAAATCATAATTAGAAGTGATAATTATAATTTCAGGTTTGTCACTTTATTTTCTTTTACCGTAAGCAAGTTTGGCCTGAATAAGTTTAAAAAGTACCTCGGCAATAGTCACATTGGTAGGTACTTGTTAGGTTTAGATCTCCCTTATGCATCAGAAGCAGGCCTTTTCGCTTTTTTTTATCAATTGCGGGAGGGAGTGTCAGACTCTTACTGACTAAAAACCCCCCTGTTCCTTCTCCTGCTCTGGGCCGAGGTCGCGGTGCCTCATTGCGCTTACCCCGCAACCCCGGCTGAGGCATTTTAGCTTACGGCATTAATGAAGCAATGAAACGATGAATGTATTTTTGCAAGTACAACACTTTTACACCACATTATTACATACACATAAAAAACTAGATGATACCGACATTTCCTATCTGACTACTCTGCGAAAAAATGCCGAAACAAACTCACAGATCAGTCTCTTTTAAAGCCATCATCATCAAATGTCTTCTCCCGCCCTGAGTGAGGTAATAGGTCAGATCTTTATTACTGACTCATCAAAACCACCCCATAACTTGAAACCTTATGATTATGGATAGCCTCGCAACCAGGCATAACAAAATACTTAAAAATTAAATAATGCAATAATAAGGTCAGATGACGCCGAGTCTTAATACACTCCCGTTACTAATATTTCATTGTCAGAAAATCGTATACTGTGATAATATTACGTGATTTTAAATCGCTGTCACTGGCCCAGTTAATGTAAATATCTGAACAAGGCAGATCACAATCATTAAACATTACGGTCAAATACAATTCTGGCCATAAATAGTGTAACATGACGAAAATTCTGTAGTCCAGCGATACAATGTCCATTTTAAATATCGAAGGACATTTTTACTACCCAAAAAAAATGTATTTCCTGAGTTATTAATCCTAATCTGCTATTCAATTGTAGTCTTTAAATATTCTAAGTTTAGATACTTATCCTAATAAAAACATTTGCCTGAAATGCAATACAATACTTGATAACAATTAAACCATTTTGACCACACTAGCTCCTCCCGCGTGGTTTTACTCGCTCCTTGGCTGCTATTGGTCATAACAAGATGTATTGATCTCCTTCCTCGATAACTTGACAATCCATACAAGTGTGGGCGGCCATGCTTACCCTAGCCTCACAGAAGACCGGCGTGAAACAACTACAGCGTTGTGTTTCGCTGTGTAAGTGAGATTACCGGAGGCCCAATCTTTCCCCTCCCCTAATCCCTAAATCTCCAAATCCCTAATCCCTAAAAGGTCGGCAACGCACTCATAACTCCTCCGTGGCGATTGTCCATGGGCGGCGCTGATTGCTCACCATCAGGTAATCCGTGTGCTCGTTTGCCGACCTATTACATAAAAAGAATCCAATTCAAAATAAAAAGAACTGTCAATTCGAACTCGTAGTTTCGGGGATAAGCGCGTTCAAACATCCAAACAAACTCTTCAGCTTCATAATGTTAGTATATAGTATATGTAGATTTAAAACTTGCAATAATTTAAAAGTAATAAAAGTTGAAAATCTCTTGACACAATCTCCAACAGTAAATAACTGACCACAATTTCCAGATGACAATTAAACAAAACATAAAGTGTTTATATTGAAATAACGGAATAATAATAATACATATTGTAAAGTGCCTCGTTTTTATTGTCCTCAAGTGTACAATCGAGGTTTCGGTCGAAATCATGGATCAGTGATTTGGACCGACCAATACATAAATGTATGTACCTACATACATACATATACATATACATTTATATTTTTCTTGTACATAAAACGTACACACGTATTTATGTACAAGAATTTATTTACATTGTAATGTTTGACGGGAAATGTTAAATCGATGTTATACAGGGACGGATTTGGGGTGGGGAGGTTTTCATTTGCGGCAGATTTTTTTGAGTGGTGATATTTAAAAAAAGAACTTTGCCCCGCACTATATTTTTCTCCTATGCCGTAGGTACAAACATACAACTTCACATACACATCACACCCAGACCAGGAACAACAATTTGTCGATCACACAAATAGATGTTTTCTTGCGCGAATCGAACCCGCGACACGGTGCGCGCTAGCTAGTTGAGTTGCCCAACCACCGCGCCAACAGTGCAGTTTTTATCTGACTCGCGGTATCTGACTTATCTCGCTCTAGATGGGTTGAGATGTATGACTTTTACTGACTAACAGGCCCCGTTCCATGTCCTACACCGATTGAATAATTGTCACAATTTAAGAAAAAAGTCATTAAAGTATTGCTAGATATTAGTCTATAACGGTCTATAAGAGCATTTTTACTAAAAAAAGGATTCAGTTGTCTGAAATAAAGTATATCTTTATATACATATACAATCCAGTCATGCGTTTGTCCGCGATGGACTCCTAAACTACTAAACCGATTTTAAATTAGATTTGCATTCCGTGTGCATTATGATCCAACTTGAAAGATAGTATAGCTTACATCTTAATTTATAGTCACAATATTATTTAAGTACCTTAGCCACAGCAATGCGTGGCTGGATCTGCTAGTATACTTAATATAATAAAAATAATACTTAATAAATTATTTATTTATCATTGCTGTTTACCTTAAACCACTGTCCATGATTGCCCGTCACCATACACTTTCGTAACGCAGTTCTCACACCCACACCATAAGATCTGATCTCGTGATCACCTCCACCTACTAACAAAGCGGGGTTAGTGCAAATATTAATAAATTTATTTAATTATGATCCCCATCTTTTTTAAGGTACTGCTAAAGGTTTTGTTAGGATTTTCGACAATAGTGATAATGGTAGGTAAATGTGGTACTTTTTCTTGTTCATTTTACTACCTACTAGCTTGCTGTCCGCGACTTCATCCGCATACATCATACATATATTTATTTATTATTTCTTCTTCACACAAAACAGTCTGAATGGCGGATTTAATGCCTTAAGGCATTCTCTAACAGTCAACCATAGGGCGGTGCAGAGAATTTTTGCGGTTGGTGTGAAGCTAGGACACATAGTCCTAGAACAAATGAGAGGAGAAAGAAAATATATCTAGAACTACCTATTGAATGAATCTTTAAAAAAAAGCCGCATCAATATCTGTCACACAGTTTTAAAGATCGAAGCATACATAAGGACAGATGACGGGAAGCGGCTTTGTTTAGATTTTGTACCTATAGTGATACGGGTTTAAACAATGGTACCTAGTAGGCATTTACTATTTAATTTTATTGGCTCCAGAGAATGTCTATAGATGACCCCGGGGTCCCATGTACCTGGTGTGGTGATGACCATCGAGGTCGTTTTAATAAAATACCACACTTCAAAAAGGTAGACACGTTATAAAGTTTATATATATTTTTTTAATAAATCCGTCTATATTTCAGTCATCAAGGGTCATATAACATATAAACCTTTTTATACAGCAAAATGTAAACAATATAAAATTACAAATTGTATAAATATTACCTATGGTAACATAAATTATATGACGTCACATCTTTTAAGTTGACCAGTTTCCGCATTATGCAATAAACCAGTATAAGCTGACCGTTGAATGTGCAGCAAGGTCATACATAGTGAGAGCAAGATAGACTGGAAATGTGTACCTTGATTTAAAAAATGTACCTGATTGCCAGATTATAGTATAAGAAAAACTTTTATTGAAGATTTTTTTTTACTTAATATTTACTAATAGGTGGGTAACAATAATAGTTTTTTTAGTCAAGAACAAAATCGTATGGTATCGAAATCAACTTAGTAGCATCATGCCTATGTACCTATTATTTATTGACAGCTCAGAATTTAAATCAGGCTGCTACAATCTTGACCAAGGCAATCATGATGGATGAATGAATAATTGATTACATTTTAAAGATCAAATATTTGCTACTCATACATTAATCATAAGCAGGTTCCAAGTCTGTATTACGCAAAAAAACATTAACATACAACTGAAGTAGCAAAAAACGACCTTATTTACACATCCATAAGAATTTTTTACAAAAAAACGAATGAAATCTTATCATTATTTATTCAATTTAAATAGCTAAAACATATACCAACATAGGTATAGGCAGATAACAATAGATCTAAGAAAAAATATGAAATGAAACTACCGTGGTATTAGAATATGTATTTCGCGACTGATGCCATAGCCGAAATAGCTCAGTTGGGAGAGCGTTAGACTGAAGATCTAAAGGTCCCCGGTTCAATCCCGGGTTTCGGCAATCTCTTTTTGTTGTTTTTTGTTCTTTTTGTAATTTCCTTATTGATTTGTTACCATTAAATATTAATTAAATGGTATTTCAATTAGTTAATAAACATTATTTCGTTTTTTGTACATCAAACCTATTAAGTATTTGTATTTCATTAATACAAGTTTATCTTTTTTATTTAAAACTTTTATATTAATATAATTTTTTTTCAATATTTTCATATTGTTTACATAAAAAGAAACCGATTTTCAACTTTGTTACTTGGTCATTAAGTTCATTTTTTTTATAATATTAAGTCTTATTTTAAATATATGGTCTTCCGAACTAAATCTAAACCTTTTAGCATATTTTCTGTACCTATAAACAATAAGAATATTTATTTTGTTACAGGTACAGCAGCCTACGACACAGTGAGACCACTCGCCTACCAAGACGCCAGAGTTTTCATGCTCTGCTTCAACATAGCCGAACCTGAGACCTTGCACAACGCTGCCGCTAAGGTACCCATTAAACCTATTGTGAAAATTGACGCATTTCTTTTATATAAACACTAGCGGATCCTCCCCTCCCACGTCATATCAAATTTCAGCAAAATCAAATTGGAAACGGCCCTAACCGTTTCCGAGATCACATGCTTTTTCAAGCAATCAGGGCAGCGCCATCTGCCGGGTCGATTTGTGAAACTAAATCATTCAATGCGCCACTCTAACGCATACAGAAAAAATCATTTAAATCGGTCAAGCCTATTAGGAGGAGTTCTATGACATACACACGTTCATGCAGTAGAATTATATTATAAAGACTAGAAAATTTTATTAGTACGGAAAAGGAAAAATACAGATTAGATGTCAATTAAATGTATTGATCTTAATTTTTATAGATTGATTTCATCATAAATGTTAATGTGGTTGAAAATATCACAAATATCTTACGGTAATTTCCAATTAGTCAAATTCAATACTTTTCTCCAAATGTCAAAAACGATAGGCACTTTATTCTTTATGAAATTTGTATGAAACTCCAAATTATAATGTCATAGTATTTTTTTGCAATTAGCCAAATATAATACAATATCATATTACTACTTATTTCTTAAAAATTCGCTGAAATATATTCTTTTCTTTTCTTTTTTTTTAAAAAACTTTGCCCCACTCGGATTTTCTCCTGTGTCGTGGGTGCGGTTACAAACATATAATTTCACATGCACATGACACCCAGACCCGGAACAACAATTTGAACAACAAATATCAAAAACATTGTGTATCGGCGAAGAAAAGTTTAGCTATTTTTTTAGCTTTATTGTATTGAAACGTTGAAATAATTCATTTATGACCTAGGAAACTACCCAATTAACAAAACTGTGAGCACCTAGTATGATCAGTACCTTCACTATTATATCAGCCAATAAAAAGTATAAAAACTAAAACCCAACTACGACAAAAACCGACGCTAAAAAAGTATAAAACAAGATTTTCAGAATACTGAAAGGCGTAGTCATACGTTAAATTTACTTACCATACCTGCACTTTGATAACGTGTGACTATGCCTTTTGGATGCCTAAGGACGCGGACGCCTAACCAGCCAATTGGGATGTTATCATCCAAATTGGCTGGTTGGAAGTAATCATGCACCCAGCAGCAATCCTGTAACCCTTATATGGCACACCTAGGGTAATCCATAAAACAAAGCAATAAATACAAAACCAATATCTTCTTCCTTTCAGTGGTACAGAGAAGTTAGAACTCATGGGGGTTCAGCTCCGGTACTGCTCTGCGGCTGCAAGGCTGACCTGAGACATGAGAAGGAAACGCTCACCATGCTGTCCAAGCTTAGATCACACCCAGTCACCAGCGAAGAGGTAAGGTCACCATGACAGAGAGCCTTGATAAACATATTATATCTAGGACCTGTTTCGGAATATCTTAATAGTCCCTATGTACCAGATAAAGGATATAGAACGTATATTGTATGAAATACGTGTCACCTAAGTTTAGAATAATGTATACTAATATTATAAAGAGGTAAAATTTGTAAGTTTGTATGTAGGGGGCTTTGGAACCGCTGGGGGGATTTTCAAAATTCTTGCACTGATAGATAGCTACAATGTTCCTGAGTGCTATATGCTATAAAACATCACTACACATACTACATCGTGCTATAGGCTACGATCTGTAGGAGCCGAGCAGCGGGTGAAACCGTGCGGGAGTAGCTAGTAAAGAAGAAAGAAAAAGGTTAAGTTCGAAAAAACAAAAGCTAATCACAAAGCGTTAACTCTAGCTGTTAAAAGTCCGTTAATTTGAAATAGCCAATTATAAAGTAAATATAATAAAGTATCTACTTAATCCCTTCTTAACGTGCCTCACGTCACTTAGGTACGTAACGTGCAAACAAACAAAAAATTTAGTCGTTCAAATCAATTAATTCATTACAATAAAATGTCCTATACAATTTAAGTAAATAATAAATTCCTACCTACTCACACGTGAAAACAAATCTCCCAGGACGATAAAAAATAAACTCGTCCTAATTTCACGGCGAACCCAAATCCTACCTACGCAGACTTTCCGAACACATGCTCTCTACAATTTAGGGCACCTCCTAACGATACGAAATTCATTTTAGACTCCTCAATTTCACGGGATCCGCAAAACGTCTGGAATTGGAAAGGTCTTACCCGTGCCGGAGCGATTTAACTCCATTCATCAGAATTCTAATCCAAATTGAAACATCCTGAGTATTTACACGTATTGTATAACAGGCAATTGAAAAGTTGGCCGCAATTTGAGGCTGGACGTCCCTATTAATTAGAGATCTTATTCAACTAGTTACCATTTAGTAAATGGGAACGGAGTAATTGGCTCGTTCTATGAATGAATTGGACGGACTCACGGGTCGTTGTGACGTTGAGGCGGTTTCGAGTACTCTTGTGTAGAAGCACCTTCAGTGTCTGTTTGGAAAATGGTTACTTCGTGATCTCATTTCAGTTTATCATTAAAAAGTTACACTTTACTTAGACAGAATGATATTGAAAAAAATATATAATATGATTAATGTAAAATACAAACAAAATATTAATGATGATTATTTTCGTCTTTAAGGCTTTATCAGTAGCAAGACAGCTGGGAGCGATGACCTACGTAGAGACGTCAGCCAGAGCTTCCACAAAGGGCGTCAAAGATGCCTTCGAAGTAGCTGCATTAGCAGCCCTCGGCAAACTAAACAAGCAGCAGATGAAACAACAGGTATACAACCGCTTCTACTACTATACACATCAAAATATTACTTTAATCTTATCTTCCCCCTCTTTTTCCCTCACGCGCTGGACAGCATTCCAAGCGGATTCTAAAGTAGGTACGTAGACAAAGCTTATCGCTTTATCCAAGTCACGTGGAAGTCCTTTAACATCAACCAAACTCAACTTCCATCGACATAGACATAGATGAAGATATTAAAGTTAACTTTTCCCCTACAGAAGCAAGTGGGTCGCAGCAAAAGCAAGCGCGACTTGAAAGCTGAGCTCAAAGGGCGCGCGAAGAGTTGCTGCGTCATGTGATCCGTCGCCGGCCACCCGTCCCGGTGGCCGCACGACTGCTAGGCGACCACCGCCCTTCTTCTTGAACCCAACTGTTCCATAAAGGAACCTTACCGGGCCTAAGTAAGCGCCTTGCGGAACACCCGACGTAAATGTTCACTGACGAGTTCCCCCGTATATGGGTGGCAACAATATACGACACATGTATTTAGTGTCACTATTTATTATATTTACGTTAAATGACTATGTGCAAAGTGATCAAATAATTTTAATCGTAAGTGTGATTCGTTTACAAAAGCCTAATAGAGAACTATTACTTTTAATGTACTGTTAATTTAAAGGAAGCGGAACGAAGTTCTTTGGATTTTTAGGTGAAGATATCAGTATAATAAGAAGGTGCAATGTAAATTAAGCCCTGAGAGGTGGAGCGTGAGCCTGTGATAAAGTTAAAAATAGAAAATTTTCGAGAAAAAATATAGAAAAGTTTTAGATTGAATTAAAAGGCGACAACGCTCAATTTGGCATTTTCTTCATTAACAGTTTAAACATTAATGTATAGCATCATGTTAGTTAGGAACAAATATTACGTGTTTTCATATACATTGACGTATTGACATAAAAATATACATATAATAACTTGATGTTTTTCTATAACATAGCATTTTCATATGTATAGATTGTAATGGAAGGTTATGAAACTCCGTTGTTTTCTGTAGGACCAAGGTTGCTCTTATTTTTGATGCAGTAAGTAGCTTGGTTGTTTTTGAAGCTACGAGCGAAACATTTAATTTGTGATATATATTATACGTAAATGTAAATTTAAAATAAAATGCACAATGGTGGACAATACTAAATTACGGAGGTCCATATGCTAGTTAGTTTCACGTCCAGCTATAGGTGTTAGATTTTTGTACCTTTACAATAATAATTAAATATTAAATGTTGCTTGCCTGTAGTTCGTGAACCATTTCGTAAATTACTATCATTATTCACTGTCATCATGGATATTAAATATCGTTTGTTTGCCTTTAAAAAAATAATAAAGTGAACATAATATTTTATTAAGCGACTAAGTCCGTAATTTTATTTTCAAAAAATTAAAATAAGTATTTTTAGAGAGCGCTCTAGATTTTGCCAATTAATTGTCTTTTTACTTTTTGCTTCGGGAAAACTGACTGAAAAATGGTTTCCATGAATAAAAATGGCCGGCTTTTTGTGCTGAAAACGTCAAATAATAATAAAGGTCGCTATTGAGTTGAGTAATTAGGTTTACAAGTCACGTCGCCCGGCCTCAGTGGAGCTGCGATTGCTTTTCGCTTCGTAATGTCAAGTAAAACTAAAAACGAAAATCATAAAATTATTCATAACACGCTTTGTATTGTAACTTGTGAATATTTTAAAACATTTATAGTATTTTGTAATAACGAAAATAAAATGAACCGGGAAGCCATTATAAATGAGATATTTTGAAAAGCGTTTGTAAGTTGTTTGGCAAAATCAAGCGTCCTCATAATTTAGTACATTTTTTATAGTTAGGTATCAAAAAAATTCTTCATATATTGAACAAATAAATTAAATGTTATTTTGTTAACATTATTTTCGATTGTTTAAAGTATTGTAAGTCGATATCAAGCTTTAAATTCAATGTTAGCTTTAATTATCATTATATTTAAATATTTAAATTAAATGTGTACCTAGTTATTAGTATAATTTTCATTAAAAAATCATCATCGGACATTTTTATTTTTCTCAATACCTATTCTTTTTTTTATTTATGAAACAAAATGTGTACATATCACGTATAAAAACTCTGACGTCATTTGAATAAAGAAAACTCAATCCGAATTATGAATTAAATTTTTACCGAAATATTATTTGGTAATAAGGCTTTTGAGATAGTGTTTTATTTTTATGTAGATATAAAAAAAACTTTTGAATGATTACTTATGTACGTATATTATGTTGTCAAAGGATAACAAATTGTCTTACTAAATTGAATATTGTTATTTGTAAATGAATATGATTATTTTGTATTGTATGCAATAGAGTTTTAAACTACGTTGACTGACATTCAATTATTTTGATTTATTCACTAACAGAAACAAGATTCTGTTTTAAATTCAAATTCAGAATTCGATTATGACAATTTGGATTCATTTTGTGAAAACTATATTTTATCGGTTTATTCAAATTTTTGGATAAGAATACAAAAAAAAAATATTCCTTTTACAAATTGTTCTTATCTGTGTGAACTGAATATAAATACATTTACATGCGTTCAAAGGCTACCATTGACAAATGTACAAGCGTACTGTCAAAACTGACACGCGTGACAGAACTTTGTTTATGTCAACTTGACTTTTTTATAGCTATTGCAGACATACAAACTATACAGTGTGTCAAAAATCCCATCAGGTAAGAAAATACAAATAATAGATAGAACTATAATTATAATACTAGGACTATAAAATTTAATAAGAACTCACTTTATTGTTTTAAAGAAATACCAATAAACCAACAATATATACCAAAAAATATGTCTCTTTTCAAATCACTCAGAGTTGGTTTTTCTTTTATATTGGAAATAGGTCATCTTGTGGCTTGCAAGCGGTCTACGAAGAACCAAGTCTGCCCCATACTGGTTTTATTTTTAAAACATTTTTCCAATGACGTCACAGTTTCTCCAAATGCCTTACACTGTGTAAAAAAACGTTATAATTTTAAACTGTGTATTGTTGTAACAATGGTTTTATTACTAGACAAGTTAACTTGACGTTAGGCCTCTTCAATGTTGTTTGTAGATATCAAATATAGCGTTCAGTGTTTTTTGATATTTGCGTTTTATTTTAACTATCACCTAAACATACATATCGTCACGCCATTCGGCCATGGTAGTAGAGATTGCTGAACTCCAAGTGATACCTGCACACCTGGATACCTTTGAAATCGCCAATCTGCCTTGAACAAGCATGGTAATCAATGCTTAAACCTTCTATGTGTCAGAGGAACCCTTACTCAGCAGTGGGCACTTGGCTGGTGAGGTACAAACTTACGCCATAGACAGTTGCCTTGAAAACTGAGAAAGCCGATAGATACCCAGTCTGATGGTAAGCAATGAGCGCTGGCCATGGATACTCGCAACACTTGAGAAATTACTAGTGCATTGTCCGTCTTTTGGAGTGATGAAGACGAAGGAGATAACAAGGCTTCTAGTAACCTCATCCACATGATGAAACACAACGCTTGCATTGGTCTACGACGGTTTTCCAAGGACTTGTAGTATTATTCCGCTCGCTCTGGCCAATTCGTAGCGAGGCATATTGTCTTTCCACCCTTAAAAACCCGTGTAATTAAAATAATAAACAACTACCTTTTGCCCGTGACTCCGTTTTAAAAACTATCCTATGTCCTTTTTCGGGTTTCAAACTATGTCTGTGCCAAATTTTAACGAAATTAGTTCAGTAGTTTAGGCGTGAAGAAAAGACAGACAGACAGACAGAGTTACATCGTGTACCTCAGAGTTACATATTGCATTTATAATATTAGTTTGGATTTGGTTGGTACAAACATCTTTACCGGAGAAATGCATCTCAATCCTAATACCGTTTCGCTGACAATATTTCTTTCGATATGTTAGTCGTAACGGCGCTTGGGATAGGCCTATGTTCGGCATCCGACGTTTACAGATATTTATTGGCTGTTACCATGAATAACTGCTAGAAACGAGCAAATTCGACAGTTGCTAACTCTTGGTATGGTCTGTCAACTGATGGGATTTCTTCTTTATTTCATATTTTGGACTTTAAATGAAGAAATTTGTGGAAAAACAACGATCAGGCTATTTATTAGTATTAAAATACTAGCTTAAGTTGTCTATACTAATATTATAAAGATAAAATTTGTAAGTTTGTATGTAGGGGGTAATCTTTGGAACCGTTAGTCGGATTGCCAAAATTCTTTCGCTGATAAATAGCTACAATGTTCTGAGTGCTATAGGCTACAAAACATCACACTGCGATTAAATGGAACCGAGCAGCGGGTGAAACCGCGCGAGAGTAGCTAGTTTTTAATGTATAGTCAGAATTTTAATTAGTTTCCTGATTTGACATGACCTACTGTCATTTTGTGAAATAATGATACCACATATAACAGTGTAGTGATGAACACAAAAATCGATAAACAATCAGTGAATCAGTTTTAGGAAGGTATTCAAAAAATTAGGGCTACCGAATGGTCTAAATGCGTATCCTATGTTGTCAAAGAAGAGGAAAAAATGAGTAAGCTAGAATTATGATAATTGACAATAAATGTCAAAGACACAATTCATAATAAATGTTACAGAAAGTAACAGCTATAGCGATAGCCATGGCGGCGACAAATTATAAAATGTCTGTTTTATTTGTCACGTTCCTTCATGATCACATTTTTTATTAATTTCACGCATAATTACAAAAGAAAAGTCTCAGATCGTTAATTATTTGTCAAAACTAAATTATCGGTTCGGAAATATTTTGTTGCCTGATAAAGTTAGTTTACGAGAGTAAATTTATAAACAAGAGGAATCAATTCAGAAATATTCGATTTCCATATCGAATAATTTCGCAACGTCACTATTTAATACGTGTCATACGTTGCAACACTGAAATTGTCAAATCTGGAATGGAATTAAAATTCCGAGTATAGTATTATTATTACTATAGTATAGTACTTACCTATTATCACGTCGATTTGATGGGTAGGCAAGTGAAGTAAAGTTTAGAGAAATGAGTTAGTTTCCTTTCCAGTTAGATCAGCCAACAATATAGAACTCTTTCCTATTTGTTCCTAACTTCCCTCTTTCTTTTTTCCACCTTAGATTCTTCTTTTCTGGGTCTTGAATTCAAATTCTCAACCATAACACTAAGTCTTAGATTATTTCGTTCACTTCCCATTACAATAATACTACACAACTTACATCCATGAGTGGCGAATCTTCTAAAACAAAATAAATATTTTCCAATCACATCAGAAACTATGTTGCT